CAAAGTCTGAAGTTTACTGTACTGGTGGGGACCAAAATCCAGGTCCCCACGTTGTTGGAGGCATTTTTCACACTTAATTTGTGGTTTTAGTGTTTTAGGGTTACAATTGGTTTATGGTTAATGGTTAAGTTTAGGGTAAGCATTATGTTATTGGGATGTCCCCACGAAGACAGCAAACCAGAAGAGCGTGTGAGTGTGTGTTACCTGTCGAGGCTGATTGGGAATGCAGGGCTGGCTGTAAATATATTTGAGGGGCTCCAGGATCTCAGTTCCTCCAAGATTAGCCTCCATCTGCTCAACTTTCTTCAGAGACTCCTTTATGGTCTGCTGGCTGTACTCCACACTCTTACTGCCATCACACAAACACATGCACCAAAACACCCATTAGGATATTTTAACAAAGACAGCAGGGCCTTTGATATGAGGGAGAGACTCACGGGAAGATGTGTTCATAACAGGACCCAAAACTGTAAATGTTGAAATAGCAGCCCATTGGTAAGCTCTTCAACAGGAGCAGCAGAGTATCCTTAAGAGAACATTGAAAATATAGTGAGGCCACTGTGTGAGAGGAACAATTTGAAACTAAAGAGTTTATGATTAAAATATTACAGATACCTTGGCACTGCGGATGCGAGTATTACTCATACTTCCAGATCGATCCATTAAGAACACAAACTCTCCACATGAAGCCATCGCAGACTGGGGGAACTCAGGGTACAGACTCACCATCACCACTGGATCACCCATCAGAGAGCCTGAAAAATAACAGACAGAAAAATCTGAGAAATTGCTTTTTGTTTATGTCAACATTTTGAACTTCCAAGCAGAAGTAGATAATGATTTTTAAAATTGGCAAACCAACTACTCCTATCATTTCCACTCACCCGGCTCAGCAGAGGCCTGTCCTGCCTCCACCACAGCAGTGGGCTGGTGAGCATCTTTGTAATAAATCAGCAGTTCAACATCTCTGTCAAACTTGTGTCCTGCAGCCAGTTTGACCTGCAAACCACAAACACATTCATATTTAATTCTCAGTTATAAGTAACAACCACACACAGCAGAAATATTAGCACTCTACCTACCGTGGCCTGGGTTTGATCAGTGTTGAGGTACTGGAGAGGGTCCAGGGAACAGTTGGACTCTACTTTAGAGATTGGACGAGGAGAGGACACTCGGGCAGAGAAAGACAGACTGTAGGGCACTAACCCCACACTCGAAAGACCCCCTATGAGCAAGTTCCTTGGCAACAATGAGAGGGAAAAGCTCCCTATTTACAGGAAGAAACGTTCAGCAGAACCAGGTTGAGGGAGGGCCAGCCATTTGCCAAGACCGGTTGAGGGTGAGAGGAGTAAAACAGGACAAAGACATGCCATGGAAGAGAACTTGAATTAAATGCAGAGGTATGTGTAAACGTATAGTGAGTGAAAAAACACTCAGTGAAGAAATACACTTAATGCTTCATGGGAACCTTGACCTATTGCAGTGTAACTAAGGGAAGTTTCTGGGCCACCTGATCCAGTCCTAATTAGGGGAAGGCTGTCCTGTAATTAGTTAAGACTGCTGGGTCTAGAGGTGGCTTTTAAAGTAACAGTTGAACTACTGCCAGTCTGAAGACCTGTGGTACATAGCCGCTTAATAGAAATAGGTTGATCATATTTAAGAATGAAATATTAATTATTGGCAGAGTTTCTTTGAACAGTCTTGTAGGAATGGGGTCTATGAGACATGTTGATCATTTGGAGGAAGTAATGAAGTAATTACTGAAGTTAACTCAGAAAGATCAATTGAAGAAAAAGATTAAATAAATACCAATGGTACTGAAAGTAACTCTACACATTGTTAAGTCAGTGAGATGATTATCAGTATGTTTTTCCTCTAGTAGTTAAAATTGTATTTGTGAAGACATTCATGAATTCATTACTATTTAACGTTAAAGGAATGGTTGGCTCAGCAGAGCTCTGACTTTTTGTCAGCTTGACTACAGTGCTAAGATAAGATACAATAAGATAACCTTTATTAGTCCAACCTGTGGGAAATTTGTTTTGTTACAGCAGAAAGTGGACAGTGCAAAGTTACATAGTAAAAATTAGAAAAACACTGGAAAAGGATAAGAATAAGATACTGTACACAATTGTAGACAATATAATAGAATAAAATGCTGCAGAGAAACCTAGGGTTGCTCTTATTTCCTTCAATCAGTGATGAATAGTAACCTTCTAGCTTTACTGAAGGCTTTTTTATAAAGCAAAAAGCTATTTTTAAGCTAAATGATGATCTTCTAAATTAGTGAGACACTGTTTCTAGCTTACTTTATCTGCTTTAAGGTGCACATTTGCGAGTTATACCAGGGAGTCAAGTACTTCTGATTTGAGTGTTCTCTTTCAGAGGAGCCACAGTAACCCCTGTGTTTAAATTCTGGCTAGAAATGACACAAAGAGCAAAGAAACTGCAGTTATAGTAATGGTGGAAGGGCAATCAAATAATTTTGTATGTTTGAAAGACAGAATAAATGCAGAATGAGAAAGAAAGAAGGACATAGCCTAACACAGCACAGATACTCTGTAACCCCAAAGTCCATCCCCTAATCATGTTATAGATTCTGGACTTGAAAATAAAGTGTTGAGAAAGACAGTTGCTTTCAATGTTTATGTTTCCATGTTACGCTTAATTCTTTTCAAGTTTATCTTTTTTGCCTACATAACAAATTCAAAAATATTTTATTTATGGAGGAAGAGAGACGGAGAGAGAGAAAGAGGTTGGAAATTCCTCCACCACCATAGTTGCAGTTATGAAACCTTTTTCTATGCAGAGGTGTGAGTTTGAGGCTTTCTGTTAGTGTCAACGTTTTTTCCTACCCTGAGGTTGGTATCGAGGGTTGAGCACAGTAGGCAGACAGAACCTCAGACCATCATCAGCCTGCACAGCCAGCTCAGCCACGTACTCCAACCTGATGGAGGCGCTCTCTCCTGGAGGCAGACTGCCCACACTCAGAGAGAATATATCTGGACTCTGATCACTCTCCTCCAATAGGAAGGCCTGCTGACCGGAGCTCAGAGCATCATCATACTCCTCACGAGCCTGAAGGACAGGTGACACATGTCAGTGACATTCACTGTGTTTATTATTAATTTGAATCTTGTTTGTTTGTTTGTTTGTTAATTTATTTCAATCATGTGAACAATATACAAGTACATTTAGCAAAGAAACGAAGAGAAAATAATGCTATACAAAATAAAGCTAATACATTTCAATATTGCTTCAACTGTTCCGATTCAGTTACATATCAAAAAGGAGTGGGAAGTAGTAGCCTACACACTTATTTAATCCCATCCCTTTGCCTTAGGTTATCAATATTTAGTCAGCTTCCTTACTGATAAAATCTGCAGTAAAAATAGCGAACAGATTTCTGATATAATACTGTATATACATCACATCATGACACTTTCTAAATAGAGACATTCACTGAATTTCAACATTTTCCTTTTCTTTCATGAAAATCATTATAACTATATCTTTATAACTCTTTTTGAACTGCTTTATGTTTGGACACTGCTGTAACTCCATATTCAAACTGTTCCACAGCTTCACTCCATGGACAGAAATGCAAAAGCTTTTGCTGGTAATAATAATAATAATAATAATAATAATAATAATAATATTATTATTATCATCTTGTGCAGTAATAATGGATTGCATTTATATAGCACTTTTCGGGGCCTCAAAGCGCTTTACAATTCCACTATTCATTCACTCTCACATTCACACACTGGTGGAGGCAGCTACGGTTGTAGCCACAGCTGCCCTGGGGCAGACTGACAGAAGCCAGGCTGCCATATCGCGCCATCGGCCCCTCTGGCCAACACCAGTAGGCGGCAGGTGAAGTGTCTTGTGTGTTTTATTCAAATTTAATGACAATTTGTTTTTATCAGGCCAGAACTTCACTTTACTTATTTCATTAGTCATCTCATCCAATAATTTCTGCAGATCAGCACCAGAGCAGAAAATGTTTGTATCATGAGCAAATAGTACCATTTTAATACTTTGGAGACTTAAAAAATGTCATTGATGTATAAGTTGAAGAATTTTGGGCCCCAAACTGACCCTTAGGGTAGACCACAAGCAATGTCCATACATAAGGAGCAACAACCATTTCATTTCACAAACTGCTTCCTGTCACTTAAATTACTCAGGAAACAAATTTAAAACTACCGCTTTGACACCATAACGTTCCAGTTTTCTTGTTAATATATTGTGATCTATAGTGTCAAATGCCTTTCTCAAGTCTATGGATAACCTACCACACATTGCTTTTTGTCCATGGAATAGATAATCTTACTTATAATGAGGTTATATTTACTGTCCAGCTCACCTTCTGTTTCTCCTTCACCTCAGCTACAATCTGTGTCTGTCCGATCTTAGCACTGAAATGACAGACAGCAGCGTCTCCAGGCAGAGGGAAGACAAAAACAGCCTCTAATGGTTTGTTCTCCTTATTCTTATAGTTCAGAATGGAGACCACTGTAGCCACATGGTCCCTCACCTCCAGCTCCACCTCAATGCTCTTCAGGGGAACTGACAGACAAACAGAATTCTAACAGTCACACTTCATAGTAGCATTTATTTTTTAAAGTCAAAATTAGCTTTTCTGCTGAGCCATCTGTCCATGCAACTCTATTAATTTTTTTTATGACAAATTGAAAATTCATTTTAATGTTTATCAGATTTTTACCTGGTTTGTTCTGGGCAGTTAGCAGACCACAGCATCTCATCATTGTACCTATATAAGAGACAAACACCACAGACAGTTTTCCTCAATAAAACATTTCAGTTTACATAGTATATTATACTACACTTATCAGCTTTTTTTGGAGTCTGTCTCTTCTGCACATACTCAAAGCGAATTTTCACATCACCAGACTCAAAAACATTTATTCTAGCAGCTCAGAAAATGGTTTGTTTGAGAGAAATGAGTCCCCCCACCACACACACACGCACACGGTGTTTGAGTGCAAAAATAATATATTTTACATATATTTTTTTAATAATAATAATAATAATAATAATAATAATAATAATAATAATAATAATAATATCAGTAGCATCATTACAGCTTTTGATCAGCACCATGGACAGCAACCACAGTCAGGGATAAGGTGAATGCTATAAAGTCTTTTTCAGCTAGGCCAAAATAGATTTAGCATCTCAAAAATGAAATAAAATTTAATAAAGACAGCTGTCTGTAAACATGGAACTGACAACGCTACCTTGGCGTGGAGATACACCCCAGGAAATATGGTTGTTGACAAGGCAAAGGCGTAGAAAAACTAATTAAAGGATTTTTATTAATAAAATAACTGAAACTAATAAGGAGCAGCAGGGGGGGGAAACAGCAAACTACGTGGCAGGACTTACAATACTACCAGACCTGAAATTAAAACACTTTTCAGACACTAATTAAAAGAACAAGATTCAGTGACACTATGTTGCTCTAGCAGCTTAACAAAAAAATTAATACGCCTAAAGACAGGCCACCTGTGGCGTTGTGCCCAAGGAGGTGCCACGCATTTTACTATGCGTTTGCACCTTTCGTCCAAATTTCCATCACTGAAAACTGAGATTTTTAAAAACGCCTACCAGTGTGGAGATTTTCAAAACCTCCGTTTCTGCGTTTAGGTTTTTATTTGTCACCCAATGTAAAAGGTGTGCGCCGTTTTTGACGTCACGCTGTGCGCCACGTTATTGTTTACATGAGATGAATTTGTACAATGGTGGATAGAGACAAGATATTGTTGCTCTTAATCTTACTATCTGCAGTTTTTACACGCTTACATATACACACGCAGTTACTGGCCCTCCATTTAGAAAGACAGAGAGGTCAGAGTGAACTTCGGACGTGGCTTCTTCAACACAGACGCTCTCATAACCCAAATCCCGACGTCGGTTTTGAATTTAAAAAATTTTTTTTATTAAACTTATGTATGCTATATACATTTTGTTCATTCCTAATGTTTTTCTTAACATTTAAAATGATGAACGCACTTGAAAAGTAACACAAAATAAGTTGCCTTTCCAAAAATAAAAATAAAACTTTTCAGTACTTAAGGTTTTGTGAGGACACAAAACCCTGTATACTCTTTCTCTCCCAGGTTTCTAGACTTCTGATTGGCCAACATTTCTTAGTGGGTTAGGGGTTCTGGTTTGACTTTTTGACTCCGGTTTTTTGCATTTACAGGAGAACGGAGATATTTTGTGTGGACGAGATTTTTTTAAAGGAAATCGGAAAATCTACGTTTTCAAAAATACCCGTGTAGTGTTTAAGAGAGAACCTCGCCCATGTGCTCAAACTGTCCCATTGACACCCTGATCACCTCCTCGATCAAACCATAATAGTTTCGTTATCGTTTATTTATATATACTGCACGTTTAATTACAACAACAACGTTGACTAAAGTGCTGTACAAAAATACAAAACAACTAATTCCAAATAATTTATGATATTGGTACCAAACAACAAATAAATAACAAATAACTTTCATACTGCATTAAAAGCCAGTGAATACAGATGTGTTTTAAGATGAGATTTAAAAGGTTTCACAGAAGGAGCCTGTCTGATGTGTAGGGGTAGATTATTCCACAGTTAAGGCGCTACAACCCCAAACGCTCGATCGCCTCTTTGAACCAGCCTCAACCTTGGTATCCATAAAAGCAGAAGATCATTTGATCTAATAGATCTAGAGGGCCCATAGGAGGTCAGACAAATACCCAGGAGCCTTTCCGTTCAGGGCTTTATAAGTCAGCAATAAAAAATTTAAAATCAACTCCAAAGTGAACAGGGAGCCAGTGAAGAGAGGCAAGCACCAGGGAAATATGTTCGCGTCTTTTGGTTCGTGTCAGAAGACGAGCTGCGACATTTTGGACCAACTGCAGTCTTACAAGGCAGATCTGGATAACTCCAACATATAAGCAGTAAGACTGTGCCGGTTAAAATCAGCTGTGCTGGGATTGCCACTTGGTCCAAAAATTATCACTTTGGTTTTATTCTCATTAAAGAGAAGTTAGAGGCCATCCAGGCTTTAATTTCACCGAGACACTGAAGTAATGGTGGGGTAACTATCCATAGCAGTGGGGCAGGGCAGCTCGTCTTCAGTCCTCGATAGATCTGAGTGTCATCGGTGTATGAATGGAAACAAATGTTATATTTTCTAAAAAAAAATACATATATATATATATATATATATATATATATATAGACCTCGAGGTAGCATATAAATAGAGAATAAAATTGGCCCCAATATAGATCCCTGGGCAACACCACAAGTAATCAGAATGAGAATCAGCATAGTTTATTAATCCCTGAGGAAATTGTGTGGGTTACAGGGAGCTGAGGAAGAGATAAAATCTCCAAAGCTCACAGAGAAAGTCCTCTCAGACCTGAACCACTCTAATGCCACTGAACCAATCTGATGCTGCAATGCCTCAATGTGAGATCAAGATGCTGTGGTCAACAGTATTAAAGGCAGCTGTCAGATCCAAAAGCAAAGGCACAGCCGAGTCTCCTGAGTTAGTGGCTAAATAAAGACCGTTAAAAACTTTGCGGTTTCAGCGCTGCCAAGAGCTTTAAAACCAGACCGAAACCTCTCGACACCGTGTCAATTTAAAAAAAGATTGCTGCTGAACGAATAAAATCTTTTCAAAAAAATTTTGACAGGAAAGGAAGCTTTGAAATAGGCCAGAAATCTGAGAGGACAGAGGAATCCAGATGATTTTTTAAAGTACAGGCTGTACAACAGCATGTTTGAAACGGGGTGGCACAACACCTGAACTAAGACTGCTGTTAAAAATCCTTAAGATGTCAGTACCGATAACCTTAAAAATATATTTTTTAAATGTGTTGGAAAAACATCATTTGGGCAAGATGATGTCTTCATGCCATTACATAGTTTCTCCACGTGATCAAAACACACTCTCAAACTGATCAAAACAGCAGAGCGGATGAATATTTAATAATAAGTCATGTGAAGGCGGGGTGATCACAGATCGAAGCTGTTTTTCAGTTTGTATTTGTTTTTTGTTTTTGTTTTTTACAGCCCGCTTCTTGTGAAAAGAAAAATAACAGAATTCTCCACAAAACACACGCAACAAGTGTGCGGGAATGGGTTTCAGAGAAATGCCTACCTTTGAAAAGAAAGATTTTTGTCTCCTCAAAGTACTTTCGTTCTTCAGTGTGTGAAATGTGGCTTAAATGCCCCTACGCCAGTTTTCTATACCGAACTGAAACACTTTCCTGTATCCGTGGGAACCCTTCAGTGAGATCGCGTCAGAGTCGAGTGGGTGGACCTTAAATTTGTTTTTATTATTATTATACAAAACTTACCCATCACCGTTGTTAAAATAGTCTGGTATTTGAAGACCAAAGAACATCATACAAGACAAGTATTGAAATACAAACGTCTGCATTTAAGACTAAATTCTTAAAGAGTTTTTTATACAGCGTTCTTAATACATCTTCAAACGCAGTTTGTAAACACCCAGTGCTATTTTTTTTTTCATATATATATATACAGGGAGAGAGAGAGGGGGAGAGAGAGAGTAATCATACCTGCCAATTCTCTGTGTGTCTCATATATCTCCCTTATCAGATCGCATTAAATATGAATTCTCCAAAATACGTTTTGCCTGCCGCCTGGTGGCCAACATCTCCATTACCCAAGACATTTTCTGCTTGTGAAAAAGCTGCAGCAGCGACAAAAGCCAACTCTTGCCTGCTTCACATAATGGTTTAGCCTAACACATGTAAGAAACATAGACATGCTATTTGGCTGGTAGATGGTACAAGCATCTACCAGCCAAATAGCATGTCTATGTTTCTGCAAAGCACTTGGAATCAACAAACTCTGGATAAAAATCTCTTTCACGCAATACACCTCAGGTTTATTAAGCCTATGTCAAAATAATAGAAAGTTTAAAAACAAAATATAATGCATTCAGCTGAAGTTCTGAAGGTAAAACTTTACTTTAGCCTTATTTTTCTTGATACATTTTTTTATTCATTTATTTTCATTTTTAAGTGAAGAGATCCACCTACACCATTTACATTTTTTTAATCCTCCATACTGATTACTTAGTTACTTTTTAAAAACACGATTTACAACCTGAATGGGTGATAAAGCAATAGATCTTTCAGCCCAATTCTACTTTTTCTACATAATCCATCATACAAAATGTAATCAAATGGAAAAGTCTGTTTTAAAAACTTGTTTTATTAGTTTTAATCTTTTAACTTTATGCATCAAGCAAAAATTTAATTATATGCAACATTCTCTGACTGGAAGAAATTTGTTTAACATTTAAACCTATTTTCCAGCACATAAAATAAAATATTTTTTTT